ATATATACACATATCTATATGTATATATGCTTATACATATAGATAGATAGATAGATAGATAGATAGATAGATGGATAGATGGATAGATGGATAGATGGATAGATGGATAGATGGATAGATAGATAGATAGATAGATAGATAGATAGATGAACATATGCATGTACACACATATGATATATGTACTTGTTTGCTTTGTATGCATATAAGTATATATATTTATATAACACTAGCAGTCACTTGCATACGAAGAGACGAGTTTCTGCATGTACACCTTGTATACCACTATTGTGCCTCCGACAGAGTATGGAGGGTGAATCTACATGATGCATCTTCGTCAAAGCTGTTCGTTTGTGTGTGGCAAACATTGAAAAAACGAATTAAGCCTATACCGGGCAGGCCACTTGCACCTGATCGCCAACGGCAACCCCTGCCTTCCCTTCACAAGACGGCAAGTCTGCCGTCCCTGACCGTTCCACGACACGCTGCTTGTGGAGTTGAAGCTTGGGGTTCGGAAGCTAAGCAACCACTATTCCGTCGCGTGCCTTGCGCCGGATGGCAGGGCCCATCCTCGCTTCAGCTAGAATCTAGAAGAGAGTCATCATTCTGCTACCTGCCTCTGTCATGTATGTGTGTGTGTGTGTGTGCGTGCGTGTGTGTGTGTATATATATATATATATAAATATATGTTGTGCATATGCATATCTATCTCCCTGTTTGCCTGCCTGCCTGTCTGTCTGCCTGCCTGTCTGTCTGCCTGTCTGCCTTTCTGCCCGTCTGCCTGTCTGCCTGTCTCCTGGCCTGCCTACCCACTACCTACAGTACCTACTTGCGACCTAGCGAGCTAGCTGTCTCTCTATCTATCTATCTATCTATCTATCTATTTATCTACTTATCCAACAACCGATCTGTCTGTCTCTCAACAACCTGTCAATCTATCTCTATCTCTATCCCTCTCCCTAGCCCTTCGATATCCTTAACTCTAGCTCTCCTAAAATTGGGCGACTGCATTGCATGTGTGAACATTGTGTGGCGCATCGCACTGCTTGCAGCTATTTCATTGTGAATGAGCTAACGAACCGCATCGGCTGAGCCATGGCAAAAGGAGAGCAGGCCGACGAGTGCATGCATGTGTGTAGATATGCATGCGGTATGTATGTGTATGTATGTATACCCACACATACATGCATTCACAGATGAGTAGAAGAATCAAAGCCTCCTGATAGCCGGAGAAGGTTTGGGAAGAAGGTCTGCCAAAATAGTGTAATTCAGAAAAACGGAAACACGGAACTTAAAGATTACCCAACATGACTCAACACCAGACCGGACCGACACACTTCCACTGAGTAGCCGCACTCAGAAACACAGTAAGACAAAAAGCGGAGCCAACAGAGCACATTGAACTAGGAGAGAAGAAGAGGAATGCATCATGAGAAAGGCCGAACGAGGAACTTCGGGGCCTGGCTCTGAGGCTCCTTGTATTTGGGCTATAGGACTTCGGGAGCACAGCTCTGAAAACCCTCAAATCCGTAAGCGCAGCCGGAGAAGCTGCTTTAGCGCTGCATGGCTCTGCTCGTAGCCTGCTAGGCCCTCGCAGGCCGTGAGCCTGAGGGCCCACACGTTCACGTCGGCTTGGGGGGTCAATGACTCAAGCGTTAGGCTGCAGGGTCAAGGGTCGAAGGCAAAGGCCCAAGGCCTGTCTCTTCTTTGGCCAAAGTGCCGAACGAATGTGCAGCTCGCATTCCATCTGCATGTGTATGTATGAACATGTGCATACCCAACCAACCACTGAATGTTGGCATAGACTTGGCCCGCACGAACAGGGCTTCAGCTTGTATCTGTAACTTGTCTCGTCTTAAGAAAATCCGAGACTGCAGAAAGCCGAGCTGCCATTGGCTGATCTTCGGATATGCTGAGAGGTCAATGCTGTGCACAGCGAAGAGCCCCGTGTACTTCTCCAAGCACTGCCCGATCTCACAATAGCCTTGTGTGTAGGGTTTAGGGTTTAGGGTTTAGGGGAGCCCGGAAGGGGAAGCTCTGCTCCAGGTGCTCGAACGGCATGTGAGGCTTTAGGAGCGGGTGCTCTGCTAGGAAGACGATTCTCCAGTCAAAGGCCTTGTTGTTTGCCTTCTTCCTCACTTCAACAGTCGGAACATGCTGCGACACGCATTCCTGCAGCTGCCCGTGTCCCACGCCTTCGATGATTCTAAGCCTACCGGCTCTTGTTCGAGTGCTGCCACGCGACAAGACAAGTCTGCAACTGTCGGCTCCTGAGATCAAGCGAACTTGGCTGAACTTGAATCTTTGTTGGACGGGTTGAGCAAAATCCGCGAGAGCAGGCGGGACTCAGATCAAACCACGCGTCTGCAAGTTTGAGAAAGCATTTCAAACTCGTCGATCGGACATCTTACTTTTGCGAGACTTGCAAACATGTCACCTTTGCCGGCTCAATGCCGAAGTTACCACTACGGTATGACAAAAAGGCTTCAGGGGTGAGCAGACAGACATGCTTTCGGATGGGTCGCTTTCGGTTCGAGCTGGACTGTTCTGAATGAACCGAAGGAAGGCCAGCGGGGGGGGTGTGCCGAGTGAGAGGATGAAGAACGTCTCTCGTATTTCCGGTGCTTACCATCTCGCACTTGCTGCATGAGACAAAGGCTACAGCAGTGTTTCTTCAGGCCAAGCATCTGAGCCACAGATCCAGGTGCTCTCGGAAAGCCAGCGCTCCACAGTTTGCAACGTGTTCTTGATCTCCTGCAGGCTGAGCAGAGGCCAAAGGAAGTCTATCTACTTCTGACCTGAAAGCTTGACCCGAAGTTGGTGTTGCCAGAAAGTCCTCTCAGACCGGCCGGTGCACCGATTCATTAGTGAGCCGAACCTTCTAAAACCATCAAGAGACAGGAAAGCCCACAGAGTGCCGCATTTCCAAGTCACCGGCCTTCATCCAAAGGTCAACCAATGCCTGCGGTAGAGGTATGTCCGGTCTCATCACGGGCGCAAAGAGGGCCAGGGTGATGCGCCGCGTGTTCTGGTGGTGCCAGTTCATGTACTGGTGGATTCCTGACGAAGTGGTACAACATGTCTTGCACGAAACCTACTCCGGCTGCAACTATCCGTTGTTCAATCCTGTAGTCTCAAAAGACGTGTTCATGTGCTGGGCAGTATCGAAGACATAGGGGTGTCTGTCGCATGTCCTTGCAATGCCATTGAAGCCTGTGCCTGTGGGGCTATAGGTGTCTCGGGAAGTGCTGGCAGTTTTGGCCAATCCACCTATCAGTGGTAGATTCTGAAAATAGGGGACCCTAATATAGTACTCTAAATAGTAGGATCCCTATTATAAGGACCCCAAAATAAGGTACCCTGACCCAACCTGCGTCCAAAGAAAGCCCAGCCGGAAGGCCGGTGCAAAACTTTATGCCGAGATTCGCGCTCGTGCGCGGGGCTCTTTGGGATAGAGCTTCCAGTTAAAGCGGTCGCCAAGATACCTTCAAACGCATGTATCTTTCAGGCCCGGGAATTTCAAACTACTCAGAACCTCCTTTTCCTCGTCCTCTCATTTTTGAATACATGGACATCTTGAACTGTCGACGGATGCCTGCGACTGATCTTAGCCTCTGCCGGCCGCAGGTCTACATCCAGGCCCTGGGCAAGGCAATTTGGGGGTTTCCGGAAATAGGGGACCCATATATAGTACCCTAAATAGTAGGATCCTTATTACAAGGACCCAACCCTAAACCCTAAACCCTAATTCTCGGAAACCCCCGTTTGGCACGAGCGACGACATGATCGCATGGCTCTCGTTGAGGATGAAGCCATCCTCCTGCGTTTGGAGCGAAAGGGGGGGTTTCCGAAAATAGGGGACCCCAATATAGTACCCTAAATAGTAGGATCCTTATTATATGGACCCCAGAATAAGGTATCCCTTATTTTCGGAAACTCCCAAAGCAAGACTTGCGCCTGCTACCAGTACCCCGCTAAAGGTGGAAGTTCAACTAGGGATTCCGGGTGTTCCGCTCGGGTAGATATGGATAAAACTTGTCTCAGACCAGCACAGAAAGCTGGGCAATGCAAAATGCAAAAGTCGAGCAGGTGGACAGAATCTCTTGTAGCCATGGCATCGATATAGCATCAGTGATGATGATGATGATGATGATGAGGAGCAGGAGGAGGAGGAGGAGGAGGAGGAGGACGATGACGATGACTGTGAGGGATGGTGGTAATGGTGATGGTGATGGTGATGTGATGGTGATGTGATGTTGATGGTGGTGGTGATGAAGATGGTGATGATGATGACGACGCGATGATGGGAGCAAATCTGATGGCGAGGATGTCCGTTGCTGCTGTCCGTCTTGTCTGTTCCTACGGCACACACACACACAGTGTCCTCCAAGCGAGGCACAGCAAAGATGGGCCCCTGCTTCTTGTAGTCCTCACTTCTGGTATCCTTGCCCGGCATGATCTGCACCTCCTCCACCTTCGTGCCTGAGAGCAAGACGCACAGCACAGGGACCGTCTGTGGATGCAGACTTGTGCGGCAAAAGGAAATGCGAATTTTGATATTTCCATACATCGCTCATGGTCATTAGATCGATGCGAAAACCGCACTGTGCTAAACCACAAATGCAGCTGCTGAGCTACTACCACACAAGGTAGGAGTTAATCGGGCCGCATCGCTTCATCCTGTGGCTATGTCCATGCCAAGAATACCTGCAATACCGTGGGTATAGGTGCATGCCAAAATTGCAGGCGCTACCTTGGAATGCACCGTGGATGCAACATGTGCTTTGTCTTCGTCACGGTGGATATCGCACATCTTCCCTGGTTTGCCACGCACTCTACATCGGGATGTACATGCGCACAGACTGAGTGCGTACAGTGCAGACACCAAATACGCAAGCACACACGGACACACGTACGAACACGCCTCCTTTGCTAAGCATATGTCCCCAATCTCTTTGTAACCAGGACTTAGCTCTGCGAGAGCCATTCCACATCCTTCTGGGGCGGGTAGCGAAGCGGGCCTTCATAGGCACAGGCCCAGGACAAAGCCCTTGCAGGCTGCGAGATGGGCATAGTGTAGATCTTCATGGCCAAAGGAGGACAGCTAGAAAAACTACTGAGCTGCAAACCTACGAACCTACGAGTCGGTCAGCACCAAGTGTGCGACGGCTTGGGTCGACAGGCCGCGGGAGATGACAAGCTGCAACCCGAAGTAGATAAGTGGCAGAGGACTGAGGTCCACAAGCTCGCCATGAACAAGATGCAGATGTCAGATTCAGTAGTAACGGAGTCACGGCCAGAGCAGACTTTGCACTCTACATTGTTGCACCCAGTTCTGAAACTCTGCACACTCGCCGAGGTCACTGCGTTCGGCTCGAATGGGGCTGCAGTGGACCTTGTGTGCGATGATTCCGGACGAACATGCCGTCTGCAAACTTCTACTAGGTTGGCCCTGTAAACGCCTTTGAAAAGTGTTCGTAAACATTTATCCTCTCAGGCCAAATAAGGGAAACCTAAAATGTCCCAAAGCACTACCTTGTCTACATGTACTGTAGATACGCTGGAGAAACGAGCAGGCCCAAACCAATGCCAGGTCCACACATCTGCATATATGTCTGCATGCATGTGGTAGGCACGGTAAGGTTTGGCAATGCTTAGTCCATGTTCTGCATCCCGCAATGTCTAGCTTCTGAGAGCAAGTGCACCTTCAGGTTACAGTGGCTGATCCTGGCGAACCATTACCCCATGATTGAAATCCTGTTGAAGCTGCAAGTATGAAGGGCATGCTGCATGCTGTAGCTAGACACTCAAATCATTCAGGGCATCGGCTGAGACTGCGCTCCTTCTGCAAGTCCACCTGCACTCCAGAATCTTAGCATAATCGAGTGATGTCACGGAGATGGCATCGTTGCCTTTCATCACACGGACTGCAATGCCTCTAAACGCACGGTAAGCCTTCCAGTGTTACAAGGTGTAACAAAAATGTCTGGGCAAAAGCACGGTGCTGCATCTTGTGCTGCTTTGCTCCGATGCCTCACCTCTACCCATCGGCTTGTCTTCTCACTCTACAATGGAAATGCCACCTGAAAGTGTCTTCCGAGGTAAGAATAACCAAAGCTTGCTTAGAGTTCCTGAACTTTGCTTCCGCCGTCTGATGGCTCCATGCCTGGCTGGAGTTTCGCAACTTCGCCTTGTCTCACCTTGGAAGGGCTTACTCTTCACATTATTATGCTATACGTTATCCTACATGTCGTGGAAAATCTTATAGCTAAATTTTGGTATATATTACAATATATGTAAGGACCACCCTAAACCTCAAGCACCCAGCGCCCTGGTCTTTGAGAAATGGCTTGCCGGGGCTGCAGACTTGGAGGGGCTGGTCAATTTCAGGGGGAGTTTAGAGCTCACTCAAGCAAGACCCTAAATCAGCTCTCACCACTCACGGAATCACAGCAGCCACTGTAACGACGCACTTGGACTTCAGAGCCTCAAACCCCGAAGCCACAACGCCGGTATTCCAGAGCACCAAGCTGTAAGTCCCAACTACCTGCTACCCCAAAACCCGGGACCTCCTCATTGCTTTCGGATCCCACCTGGCTTCAGCCCGTAAAACCTCCAGCGCCGGAGAGGAAGTTTAGAGTCCCTGGTGGCGCCTCGGGCTCCTCAGCAATCTTATCCAGCTTGCTCCGGGCGGCATCACTGACGCCTTGGGGGCCGTCCATCCGGTGCTGGGGGCATCTCAAGCTGTCTTCTGTGCCTCTTCTTGCTTTCCTTAAGACCCGGAAGCAACTTGCATGTGGGAAGCTAGGGTTCAGCTGCGGCATGATTGTGCCCCAGCGTCGCTGGGAGTGTGGCCGCTTCCGGCTGCGCTGGATGTTTGGGCGAAGAAGCCTGCACGATGCAGCAGATATGGAACGATTTAGGGCGTAGGGTTGTGGACGATTAGGGGATACAGTGGTTGGCTTAGTTTGGCCAACAGTTGGGGTCGGCGCTCGTCAAATAGTTTCGACAAGCCGAACGCGTGCAGCTGTTTCTGAATATCTGTCCAACAGTTCTGGATACGAAATCATGAGTTTCAAGCTGATTTCGGGACCGAATCAGGATAACATTGAGACCAAACCAAACCATGAAGCCATGACCCTGCTGCTCGCTCGGCAGTTCTACCACTACAGTTGTGGCGATTCAGTTGTGGTGCAACTACACATCACTTTATCCTTCTAAGCACTGTCATCCTCAGCTTTCATCCAAAACAGACAGGAAATCTACTCGACGAAACGAGCATTTGCCTTCCTCCATGTCTATTGTGTCCATCTGCGAGGAGATGGCAGCAACCTTAACAGCACAAAAGGCCGTCCAAATCAAAGGAATTGCCGCCCCAAAGCCCTTTCGCAACCCGAGCTGCGGCAGATTCTCGGTTTACCCATGCAATGCAAGATTTCTCTTCGTCACTCGGAAAGGTTTGCAGCTGGAAACAGCTTGACCCAAACACAATCCTTGAACCCGAATTGAATGCAAGGCTGCAGACGACTCAGTTTCACACACCCTTGAGCGGCCCGGAACTGCTCAAGCACTTCAAGTCCTGCAGTAGCGGCTCGATGTTTACTTTACATGCTACGTCCTCGACCCATTGGCCGTCGTGCATCGCAAGACTCGAATCATGTTGTGCTGGATGCTAGGACCTAGTTTTCGTGTCAGCTGGTGTACTGTTTCTATGAGATATGTCAGAATGCTTTCTACCCGATTTCACTGTTTCTCTTTCTCTATCTTTCTTTCGCCAGGGCTAAGGACAAGATCTTTCTTTATCTATCTCTCGCTCGCTCGCTCGCTCACTGGCTGGCTGGCTGGCTGGCTGGC